TGAAGTAAAATATCTCTAACACCTTTTCACATACACTCTCGCCATCGGCAACATTGTACCTGAAATGAGACGCTTACAACAGTACATAGAGAAATAGTCTAAACATTTCCTGGAAAACCAGATGACCTTCATGAAGTCACTAAACTATCTTTATATATATCACTCAATTGATTACACCAACATTCCCTGTTTGCCCCTGAAGAAGAAAGATCCACCTTTCAAAAGCGTTAGGGTTACAGGGTTTTATTAATTTCTATCAAGACTTCTTGAACCTACGTATTTTTCTAACATCATGAAAAACTCAAATTACTGATATTGACAAGCTAGAATATAAAATAAGAACCTCCTATCTTTTCTATTTGCCGAGATATTGCTACATTTAGTGAATCAAACACAGTGGCCCCCACCCACCTCTTTTCATTTTTGGAAATACTTGCTTATGTACACCTACTTCTGTCTATGATGTGTGAATAACCAATTGAAAGCTCAGAATGTCCCCCTGGTGGTTTTTCAGTCTCTAGAAGGTGGGAAGTTCCCAAGATTATTTCTATGTCTTGAATCATCAAAGTAAGTGGAAAGTGAAAATGTTGCCCAAAGAAATATATTTTTATTTACTCAAATACAGTTTAGTTTGTAAGCCTGATAAATTACAGTGGAATTCTGCAATATTGATAGAGTAATTTATCACATTTGGTTATTTCAAAATGCATATATATAAAACCTAAAAAAATTATTTCATTTTGCATCCTTCACGTGCGAAACTTGACAAGGCTTAATAAATTATGGCAAGCAGACAAACGAGTACAAAGTTTGTAGATAGAAAAAGTCATTGTTTTCTATATTTATTTATTTACTGTTCTATGTTTTAAGCTAGCTAACTGAAATTTATTTGTATATTTCTTTGTTTGTAATTAAGCACAAAGCAACACAATGAGCTATGTGTGATCTGCCCACCACAGGTATCGAGACCCGGATTCTAGCATTGTAATTCCACAGACATACATACCGCTGTGCCACTGGGAGGCAAACTTATTTGTAAATAGGAATAACATATATGCACATGTATTGTATTATAACCCAAATGCAACTGCATTTTACAAAATACTGGTTCACTAGAACAAACCAAAGACAAGTCACTTTGTAAAGGCCAGTTTTATACTATTCGATACAGCAACATGATGGCACATGCACCGCGTCATTGAAACTTCTGTAATGTTAATTACACATGGCTGAGAGATATATGAAATCAAAATAAATAAATAAATAAATAAATATATATATATATATAGATGTATAATGTTATGAGATTTAAGCTATTTAGACCAAACATTTGTGGTTTCTTGTTATAATCTGTAGTCATTCTAAGAAAAAAAAAAGGCATAATTTATGTTTATTTCCTTATGTTTTATGT